ATCTGTTTTAATGCCGTCGAGAAAACTCTACTGAGCTCTGAGAGCGTTTCGAAGAATAAGCAAATATATATATAAAGCGAAATGAGTCAGTCTAAAATATAAATTTGTACGAAACTAATCGTGTTTTAGTGTTAATATTAGAACACTTTAAATAAATTAACATAAACATTGCAATATCCACTAAATATCTCAATGGATCGTAATGTTGGTAGATATTAACAGAAGAAAAAAAAACACTTTAAAATAGTAAGAATAAAATTAAAAAAGCTTTGTATTTCAACATAAAAATGAAAACAGTATTGATATTAAAACAATTGACAATTTATTTAGGTATTTTGGTTTTATTTTGTCAAATATTTTCAGTTTTTTAATACGCAAACTTATCTAAGTAAAAAATGTTACTCTATTACAATAAAATACAAAAATGAACTACAGGTTGACTCTACACAGTCTTAATACCGTTTTTAAGATTTTTTCACTGGCAGCATTAGTTAAAAACTTAAAAGGCATTCCACAAAAAGCTAACACTTGGATAAGTATGTGATTATAATACTAAGTTGTCTTTTCTAAATAAGGTATTTCGGTTTTGAAAAAATATCACAATATGTTAAAGTGCATACACTGGTAAAATGACCCAATGTCTATAACAAATGAGTATTAAAGTTTAAAGTCGAAGAGAAGATGGCTGGCATGAGATGCGTCCGCCTTCCAATAGGATTTAAAATTGGTATTTCAAAGTTTAAGAACTGTTTTCAATGATGCTTTTTGTTAAACAAATTTTGGTAAAAAATCATAATAAATTTAATATTAATGTACCTAGAAAGCAGAAAAAAAAACAAAACATTAGGAGCTCAAATAGTTTAGGCATTATGAACCAAAGGAACAAATTTTCTTCTTCCAATCTCGCTACATCCCGAATTGAGCTTGGGATGTGGAATTCTCGGTGATCGGTCCGAAGAACTTCCAATTTTTTTTGCGATTTCTGTCATCAGCCATGTCTCAGATCAATATACTATTGGTCTAATGCTAGTTTTATAGAGCTTAATCTTCGATATTGGATGTTCCATTCCTTTGATTTTGTTTGGATATTTATTATTATTATTTTTTTAATTTCTGTTACTCTCTGCCGTCTGTATTTAATTTGAGTACTATATAGTTGGGACTTCTTAAGAAATTAAGTTTCTTAACGTTCCTATATTCCGTTTCACAGAATATAAAAAAAACAGAGGCGTTTGTCTGGACACTATTAAGTTAATATATTTGAGAGTAATGTTAGAAAACTAGCCAAACACTACAAAAAGAAAAGAAAAAATCTATTATCATTGATTACATGATTTAAAATTCTTCATACAGGGCGCGCCAAACCTCTGGATTTCTTTTGTTACCGCTAAATTATGAAGTATATAACAAAAATTTAATGTGATAATTTTGACCGTTACATTATGTAAGTTCATTTTATATAACAATAAAACACTGAAAAGTTTTATTTTTAACACTTTCACTACAATTTATTATCACTATAGTTGTTTCGACAGAGTGCCTTTCTCAAGTGATCTTTTGTTGGTATGAGTTTAAACTTTATAGTCTTTAACTGAATAAGTTGAGGAGAGAAGAACTGTTTGTCCTAAATTGGTCATTCGGAATTATGTCTGTACTTTTGAGTTAATTAAAACTCTTATTTTGAATGTGAAGAATTTTAAATTGGCTATTAAAATACTTATTATGGTCTAGAAGGTGAAATGCGTACGTATAATCTCTTTTTTAATTATTGAAAGACCTTTTGTGTTCTGCTGTCCGTTTGGTAAAAATTCTACCAGTTTAACCGATGTAAGTTTTTGGACAGTGGCCCTGTTTTGTATACACCACTGTGTAAGTTTTTCTTCTTTTCCTTCCTAACTTCCTAACCCAAGTGTTTGGCTATTTTTGTTGATATCTTGCCTGTATATGTAATCGAGCAGAAGGTACTGGATTTTTTTTTCTCTCTTATATAGTTTCTGATTTAAGATTTTACTTACTGTTTGTTCGTTGTATCCAATATTTAACTGCTATTTGCTTAATAATATTCAATTATATCTCGAGGTTGTTCTCTGACATGGGAATTTCTAATAATCTATGTAACACGCTATGATAAGCTGTCAATTACGTTGTGTAGAATAAGGTAATGAATTGTGTATAGTGGTGTCAGTTTTGGTAGATTTATGAAATACGAAAAACTCATGTTTTTTTTAACTCTGACATTTAAAACTAGAAAATTTATGCACTGATTCTGTTCTGTTTCTATTGTAAATTCAATATGACTTTGGAGTGAACTAATATACGATAAGAATTGGTGAAGTTGCTGTTAGTTTCTGTAAAACATACCAGTACAGCGTCTACGTATCTCCACCAATATACAAAAATGTTTGAATACGGGATGTATCTTTGTTTCTCGATGATCCATAAAAATATCTTATAGCAATGGTCTTAGAGGATTACCCATTATAAGAGGATAAGTCCTGCCCTGTTATTTGTATATATTTGATTATTAAATTCAAAGTGACCCTGGTTTATACAAATTTCAAGAATATGTAAAATTTCAGACGCAATGGTTGAATTTGTAATATTATGGTCAAAAAGATTTTTTACTAGAACAAAAGTTGCTGTAGGAGGAATGCGAGGAAAGAGGTTTTAATTGTCAAATGAAATTAATCTGAAGTTGTTAAGTAATTGAAAATGTTATATTTTTTTAACTAGTTTTATTGTATTTTTTACGGTAAATTGAGGAAAAAATTTAGTGTGTTCTAAAATAATCCCCAACAGTGTTTTTCAAAACTTATATGACGATCGTATAAAAAGAAACTACAGGTCTTATTGGGTGATTAGGTTTGTCCAGTTAAAATAGTATAATTTAGGGGGTCGTGTGGTCATAATCGCACGTACATCATTTATTAAACTTAAAAAGTTTCTTTGTTGTCGGATATAAGGTTAGAACTACGCCTGAGAATGCTTCGATGTTACGTGTTCTCTACTCTTCTTTATGGTCTGGAAGCTTGGACACTAAAACAAGTTCATCTGAATAAGTTGGCCGCCTTTGAATTTTGGTGTTACAGAAGAATCCTACGAATATCATGGACTCAAAGAATGTCAAACATGGAAGTAACTAGAAGGATAGGAAATGAGGCGGAAATAATATTAACTATTAAAAGACGAAAACTTGAGTACTTGGGACATGTGATGAGAGGGCAAAAATACGCATTATTACAACTTATTATGCAGGGCAAAATCCGAGGAAAGCGAAATGTGGGAAGTCGAAGAATATCCTGGCTTAAGAACTTGAGGAATGGTTTTGAATGCAGTAGTGCAGAACTTTTTAGAGCGGCAGTCAACAGAGTCCGCATAGCCATGATGATTTCCAACCTTCGATAGAAGATGGAACTTAAGAAGAAGAAGTGGTCATAATATTGAGGTATTTCTGTTCTATTGAATTTAAGATGTTGATTTAATATCTTTGTTTATAAATTTAATATTTTGATTATTTAAAAATTCTATTGTTTTGTTATTATATTCTATTTTATCTATAGCAATAGTAGTGTTACCTTTGTCTGCTTTTGTATACACTATGTTATTTTCTACTATTTTTTTTTCTATTAAAATGACTGTTTGATTCTCTTTGTAACAGCGCTTTTTAGTTTAACTACACACATCGGTAATTATTTTTGCAATGGCACTTTTTGCAATGAAGTAGCGTTAAACAAAACTGCCAATAATGTCGAATGAATTTAAATTAAGTATATATGTCTGTGACATACATAAGTTTCGTTATTTAACATTTTTTATATACTCCATAGTTTAAGCCGTGAAAAAAAACCCTATAGGTTTGGAATTTCCTGTACATTCATACAATAATCCAAGCAATTGATTTAATTATACTATAGTTTAGTAAAATAGAGATTGTAGTCATTCAAAATCAAGGTATGAGAAAGAGACAGGGAGAGACTGAGACAGAGAGAGAGAGAGAGACAGGGAGAGACTAAGACGGAGAGAGAGAAAGAGAGAGTGAGAGAGGTAGAAAGTTATTGAAATTTCGTATGAGTAGACTGCGCGTACCGAGTTCAACATTTAATTATTTGTATACTAATTATTGCAGTACAATAAAGAACTGTTAGCAAAATAAAAGTTGATAATTAAAGGTAAATGTTAAAAATAAAGGTTGGGACGAAATTATCTGAACAGTTTCAAAATTTAAACAATTTTAGTTTGACGAAGTTAATAAAAATTACCAAATTACCAATAATACCTAATTGGCTAATTTACCATTAATAAGTAAATCCTACTGGTTGACGTTGACATCTAGTTAAATATAATAGCTAAACGTTTTTAACGAATTGCTTAATGGCAGTAAAGATTCAATATTGCGTACACTAATGGAATGTCTAATTAAAGTAAATGAGAAAATTTGCAAGTTAAAGGAATGGTTTATATATTATTAGGAATCGTTTCTACGTATATTAAAATATAGTAATTATTGAATCACTTTTTATTATGTAGTCAATCAGATTGTTCGGTTAAGTAGAAAGTTTATTGGAAGGGAATGAAGTTGTATCACAATTTTTTACGAATATTTAAGCCCAAACAATCTCCCACATTCACTAATTCCTATATTTAAATATACAATTTAGATACATTTTTACACGTATCTATGGTGATTCTAAACAATTATTTCTGACCTATACTAAGATTCCACTATATAATAAATGATTTCTATATAGGATATCACTTACAGCAGTATAATAAGTACATAAAAATGTACGTGCTAAAGTGAACTAAATCAATTCCAAAATTAAACCTACACTACGGTCCTTTTGCATTTTTTTATTAAAAGGGTAATTAATAAGATTCCAAGGATTCAATATCAAATAAATTGATAAACTTTTAAAATATTTTAAATATATACTACCAACTAAAACTGGTTGCGAGTTCTTAATATAAATCAGAAATAATTGTTTTAAGAAAAATAGTAATTACATATTACTAACACTGTTACTTTCACTAGTTATCTCCATTTCTTTATTTTCTCCCATAGATTGACTACTTTCTGGTTCTTCAGTTTTTACTTCGGATTTAACAGACGAATAATCAATTTCACGATGCATTCTTTCCATATGTCTAGCCATATGCATCTTTTGCTTGGCTTTATAAACGCAAAAGGGGCATTTGAATTGGGGCTCTTTACCACATTCCCACTTTTGATGGTTTCGTAAGGAGCTTTTTAGTTTATACGTCCTTCCGCAATCTCCACAAACAAATCCACCGTCTCGAGTTTCTGGGGAGAGTTTGTGTCTTGGTTTTGGACTTATTGAGAGATCTAAAGAAGTTCTGTTTAGTGATTGTAGCATAGATTGCTTCATATTTTCGCGCATCAGCATCATTGGAAGTACAAAATGAGAAGGCCAATTCTCCCAGGTATTTTTCTTTATTCGAAGATCTTCAGCTAAAAAATAACATGCTATAATAAAGAGGGTACTGGATGCTCGGGTTAAGGAAATAATAAAGCAGGAATGAAAAAAAAATGAATTATACAGAATAGGTAGAAGAGAAGTGCATGCGAAAATAAACGATAAATCAAAGAAAAACTTTTAAAAATACGTGTACTACAACATAAATGGTGATTTACAATGTATTTAATAAACATAAGCTTTAAAATGTATTTAATAAAATAACTATAATAAGTGAGTAAACAAAAAAAAATGAGTATTGTGAAAGTATACTATAAAGAAGTACCGAGACTGGAGACAACAGAATGCTTTTTGTAAGATTGTTCTTGTAAATATCTGATAAGTTTTATAATACAGAATATAATAACTTCATAACTAATCATAAAGAACTGTAAGATTAAAGATGAAAAAAATAACAGCTGGAAAATGTGCAAAAATATGTAGATGTATGGAGATAACTGACGACTTTTATAGGAGTCATTGGCCACTAAATACAAGGAATCACATAGAAAAACAATAAGAGCAATCAAGGGGACTAAAGAGCAAAGGCTACAAGAAAAATGCGGTGAAATAGAAAACATGAGAGTCTTAACCTCCACAGACCAAAATAGCATTACCGAAACTGATGAAAAATTTATAAGATGGAAACAATACATGGAGGAACTATTTGTAAACGAAACATCAATACTACGATGACAGCAAGCGGTGAGAAGGAGTGCACTATCACACAGACAAAAGTGAAGATCAGACCAGATACAGGGAGAAGTCCTTAAACTACTTTACACAGATCAAATAAAACTGTTGACCGTCCGCTTCAATAAATTCTACATAAGCGGAGAAATATCAAATTATTGGTTGCTGTCAATGTTCATTCCGATTCCCAAAAAGAATAACGCAAATCCGATCTGCTCCGAATCAAAATATGTCGAATCAAAAAAGTAAGAGGCACATTTAATAAGATGCGTAAAGTGTTATATACTCTCTTCCTCAATATATATTCTTAAATAAGGATTGTGGGATGCTATGTACTTTTGACTTTGCTTTATGGAGCTGAAGCGTGGACACTGACAGACACCTGATGACTTATTAATGCATTTAACATCTGGTGCTATACACGCATGTTTATGAGCCCTATGGATATATCATATATGTAATGAAACCATCTTAATAACGCATCGGTGGAGAAGTAAAATACCTCCCAACTGTCAAACGTAGCGAATTGGAATACGTTGGGCACATCGTGAGAAATGAGAAGTAACAACTGCTGCAGCTTATTCTGTACACGAAAATATAAGTTCGGCAGGACGCAGAAGAAGATAAGACTGCGGAACCTACGAACAAGGGCAGGAATGACGCCAATAGATTTATTCAGAGCTACAGTAGATTAATGTGATCTATAGAGGATAGGCACAAAAAAAAATAAACAAAAACGTTGTTTGCTATAAAATTAGGTATAGTTTGGTTCAAGATATATGAAATTTGGCCTGAGGCTGGTGGGGTGACCCAGTCGACCGCAGTATTATAATATTGAACAACACCTATTGATGTTACTAATCCCTCAATTGTCTTTGCGACGGGTAGCAATAGTTTTGAAACAGCTTACTAGTACCGGGCTTTATATCATTTACAGAACTGACTTGTTACCTATCAGTGCAAATCAATTGTTAAACTTAAAACTTCTTTAGTCATCTTTGCTTACTCATCTGATTTACTCAACTGAAACTAAGTTGCTTGGACTCAATTATTATAAACGATCACAAACAATTTTCGTGTTTATTGGGCTCATTACTTGAATTTTATGGAGTTACAATTTTATCTGTTTATGTCATTTTCACTTTAAATAAAATGGACTTTCGATAATGAAGCTTTCTATCTTTAAATAAAAGAAAATTAGAAAATCATTAGCAAGTATATTAGTTAAAGATAAAGTATACCTCTTTTTATTATTCTATAGCTTTACACATTATAATTCTGGTACTAATAGGTATCTAGGTAAAATTAGGTATCATTAATTAGGAATGTTTATCAAACAGTAAAAGAAGATAATCCAAATCCAGAAGACGGTAAGTTTTTCATCAAACCAACATCTCGATTGACAAGGATGCCATATACAACACTGTGGAAAATTGTTACAGATAGCATTCAACCTCGTAAAAAGCAGACTGACTTTTCTACATATAAAGCAGTAAATGAAAAAGATGCTGAGGTAATTAGAAGAGCAGTTTATAATTTCTATTCAAAGAACCTATTCGCCTTCAACTTTATCAAGGTTTTTGAATCACATTGGTTTTCAATACGAGAAAATTAATAAGCGATCATCAATAGTGGATTCCCCTCGACTTATTAACTGGAGAAACGAATACTTGGATGATATATCTAAATTAAGAGATGAAGAAAGACCGATATTTTATCTGGATGAAACATGGTTCAATATCTACAATACTGCTCAAAAAGGTTGGACAAACGACTCTATTAAGTGTGCATCCAATTATCCAATTAATAGAGGTCAGTGAATAATTATTTTGAACATTGGATTTAAAAATGGCTGGCTTGGAAGAGAAATTTTTTACTATCGGCAAAAAACATTAAAGATTCAAAGCTGGATTACAATGAAAATATGATGAGTAGCTTGATTAAGACATGTTTTTAAAAGAAAGTGGTGCCAAATTTGTCTCCAAAAAGTGTCATTGCGAACAAATTAGAAAAATCCCCAGTGTAGGCAACAACGAAAAAACAAATATCGGATTATTTTGTATGAAAATGATTTGTACTTTGAAGAAACATATAAAAAAAAAGAAATGTTCGAAGTTCTTCACACAAAAGTATTTAAGAAACAGTTTGTTATAGACGAATTAGCCAAACGTGATGGTCATATTATATTGCGATTACCTCCTTATTACTGTGTTTTCAACCCTATTGAATTAATCTGGAGCCAACCTAATTATTGCGAAACAACTGCTTTCCCAAATTTAGTAGCCAATCGGTATCACATGTTGTAAAAGAAATAAAAAAGATTTCCCCAACACTGTGGCAAAATTGTGTTTCACATGTTATAAAACGAAAATCATTACAGAACATTAACCTCACATATTAAACCAATAATTATAACATTAGATGATGACGATTCTACTGAAGATGACAGCGATAGTGACATTGTTGTAATTTTGTAATAATTTTTTTCCATCTAAATTTTATTTTTTTATGTTATTGTGTCTAATTTTATTATGTTATCTTTTTTAATTCTGATTTTTGCAACAACTCGTTTAATCTCTTACTGTTGTTAACATTATTTTCGTTAATTTTTTTATTTTTTTTTTATTTCTCTTATTTCATTGTACATAATAACATACCTATAACTACATAGATATAAATATCATATATATAAATATAAGATATAATATTTAATTTTATATTTATTATTCCAACCGTATTAAAATATTATATGTACTTGAACTTTTGTTGTTAATTTTAGCAAATCCACTCCTGGAGCGTCTGTTGTTTGTTATTATAATACTAAATCGGTAGGGTGATCCCACTAGCGTCAGGCAAAATGTCTTATACCTTGATGGAAACTATACATGGCATTATCAATGTAATATAAGTGAAAGCACTATAAACTTTCTGATTTTCTAAAGTATAAAACGCACAAATTTTTTCGATAGACTCTCTACGGGAATAATAGCGCCACCTGGTAGAGGAAAAGACTAATTATTACCCACATCGGTAGCTTTTAACATTATTTTTAATATTTAGAGCAAATGCTAGAACTAATTTCAACAGATTCTGGAATTGTTTTGGTCAATTATAAGCACGTTTGGAAAATAACGCAAATAATTTAATTAATTTTGAAGACCGAACGACTTGAAGACGATACGGCGAAAAGAACTATTGAAAAGTGTGAATTTCTAAAAGGATATATTTGTAAAATCTTTCGAAATGTACGAAAACCAGAATATTCTAGTACTTGAACTTCTTTTGCGAACTAAATACTATCGTATCTAAAAATATGTTATTAAGGAAGAACAGATAATGGGGGAATTAGACGCTTGTATACATTTTCAAAATCATATTAAAAAAATTAACATCTTGGTCATATAAAACATCATCTAGTTGATATTGGTAATACAGGTCGAATATAAAGGATAACCATTTCACAACAGAATGAGAAGTATATAAAACAAACGCAACTCTCGTACAAAGAAAAAAATTCCAATGATACTCAAAGCTGTAGAACTAGAGGCAAAATAACTTCGTACAATAAAAAAAGTACATAAAAACCAACCTTACAAAAATATAATCCTAGCGGCAAATTTTAGACTAAATAAAAAATAAATAAGTGCAGCAAACATAAATAAACAAAAACTCAAATTATTGTCTATTTCAGTACATACTCCGCATTTTCCTCTTTCTTTGTGAACAAATCTGGATTATTTTCTTCTATCAACCCAATCTTATCTTTGTGTTGTCTTCGAACGTGTCTGAGTTGATGTCCCCGTCGTTTGCACTTTTGAGGGCAAAAAGGACATTGGAACATGGGCTCTTTGCCACACTCATACGTTAAATGTCTTTGTAGAGAGTCTTTGCGTATGTAGGTTCTACTACACTGCGGACAACGAAAGTTACCGCGAATCCGGTTGGTTTTCTTTTTGGGTTTTTCCACTGTACATATGTCCGTACCCATGAGCGACATCATATATTCATTTTGGTCTTCTCTCAGTTCTATTTTGATAGGAAAGGAGTCCATATCTTGTTTCGTAGCTGATTTTTGTTGTTGAACGGGTGAGCCTAAAAAAAGAAAATTTAGTAAATCTCTAAATTTTAATATATAAGATGCACGTACTCACGCTTTTTGTTAAAAATAAATAAATGCAAATACTACGGAAGTTTAGTGTACCTCTGGAACACCAGAGGTACAAAAATACGAACAGTGTATCTATCTGTAATCTACTCGAAGAATATCGCAATTGTTTAATTTACGATTCTTTCATTGGTGAATATCGTCTTTAAATGCGCTAAAATGATAATAGTGCTAGCTTAGATGACAGATAACTTTTGTTAGATTTTCACCTCTTTAATCTACGTTTTTCTGGACAATATGAGCCATCAATCAATTTCTCTGATAGTGCAAATAAGTAAATGCCACATGTTTTACTTTAGAACACTTCATTGTTAAATGAATTTACACTGTTTAGGACAAAGTGACACTAATTAAAATCATTTATATTAGCTTCAAAAACCAGGGGATTCACAACTCTGACCTAACTCAATCACAGATTAGTCAGCTTACTTATTTGTTGGTTATGTACTAGCAGCATAATTGATGATGATGATGATAAAGGTCATGTATAACAGTGTAACTAAAAACGTGAAATATAGTCAAAAATGTTACATTTTTATAATGATTTAACAGATGAGACAATTTCACTGCTAACAATAGTACTAAGTATGTGAACACAATTTGCTACATGTTGTTGTTCCACAAAGGACCAGGTTTATTAACCAGTCAAGAAAGTAACACCGACATCAAAAAAATTATTTATTACAATATACATATTAGATATTAGTAGTTTTTTATTTGACATAATGCCATGCTGCAAAACGATCTACAGACTTTAGAGCATGTTTTCGCTATTTTCTCTAAAATTATAAGACTCGATAAGAGGGGCGTATCACAAAATTGTTTACACGTATCACAAGATTAATTTACCTATTAGCGCTAGGTCCTGTTCAAAACTATAATCTCCACCGTCATGTAATACTACAGTCGTCAAAGACAAAAATACCAATGAACCTCTAAAAAATCATACGAACAATCTGAATTTAACTGAAAATGTCAATTTTCGGACCCCAAAAAAGATTAAAAAAAATTTTGCCACTTGGTTCCCCCTAAAACCCCCATGAGAGGGAAACATAAGTAATCTATTTACCAAGAATCTGTACGCATTAGAAAAAAATGTTTCAAACAAGAAATATAGCTAAAATAATTTTTATGTTTACTACTTTTTCTGTAGAATAAACTGTTCTCTCAGAAACAACAATTGAAGTGACCGGCGACTTTTAATGTCGGTTACGCGTGCGAAATCAATTTTTAAATAAAATTTTTATTAACTCAACGGTCAAAATTCGGCATACTCTGAAATCAAAATCATCATATTTGTTGCCAAATCTCTCCAAAGATTGAAATTTCATGTTATACGTTTTAATGCTTAGGATCTAACAATGAAACTTCCACAGCAACCGATCAATGAAAGTAATAAATTTTATTGACCTCATAAGCATTGTAAGAAATGGCAATAATAGCGCAACGTTTATTTAGTTAACAGCTTCATAGAAACTGACTTGATTTGCGGCAAAATGCAAAAATTATATACAAAAGCCACACACTACAACTTTTAAACGCATATTGATTTTTGTCGATAGGGCACTCTGATAAAAAATATCGAGTTTTTTACCGTTGAGTTGATATAAAGTCTATTTAAAAAAATATTTCGCGCGCGTTGATGTCTAAAATCGCTGTTTGCTTCAAACGTTGTTTCCGAGAGAATTCATTCTACCAAAAAGTGTTAAACGACATTTTTGTTCAAAATTATCTCGGCGAAATTTCTTGTTTGCAAAGTTTTGAGTCCACTGCTGGACATAGGCCTCCTGTAAATAATTCCAATGCATTCTATCTTGAGCATCCTGAATCCAGTTGTGCTGAATTCGCTTGATGTCATCTGACCACCTTGTTGGAGGACGTCCTGGATTACGATAATAACGCAATAATGATAATTTTACAAAAAGGGTGTACATATGTGGGAAATTATTAGTATAATTTCCATGTATGTGGACTGTATTATATAGGGCTGGTTCAATAAAATTAGGATAAGTAGTAAAAGGTATACAGACAATAGCAAATTCAGTTTATAGAAAGTCTTACCAATATTTTTTCTGCTCCACACTCTCACGGTTGTTTCCGGTCTTCACTCCTGGTTATTCTTCACCCGCGAAATCTGTCCGATACACCGGTTTCTGAACACGTGTTTCGCAAATATATCACGATATACAGCACACTTTGTCTGCACACGATTTAATACAGTATTTTCGATATTTCTCGCGTAACAAAAGCGGGAAAGAGGTAATTACGATAGAAAAACAGCCAAGATAGATGCTGTTCTTCTTGATAAGCGAAGAGAGAGAGAGAGAATGAAAGAGAGAGTACGACTGGCTCTAGCGGTGGCCAGATCAAGAGAGAGGACGTCTGGCTCTAGTGATGGCCAAACTAAGAGAGATGAGAATGGTCTGTCCGTAGTGGCAGACGACCATCGAGTGAGTATCTGTCTTCTTTTCTATCTTAACTGTCTGTATTTCTAATGGAGAGGGGGTAAAATGTAAGTAGGAAGGGTTATTAAGGGTTGGACTAAGGTATTGATTGTAAAATTGTGATATAAGGATAGTTAATAATACAGCAAAAAATGACATGATTTTTCGCATGTGAGAAAATTGAACAATAATAACGTTAATAATAACGCCTTTAGCTTGATGAGATTTATTAAATAAATTTGTATCTTATATTATGTGAAATAGTTTTGTTTAATGCATTTTAATCTAAATATGTCTTTTAGATGATAGGATAATATCTGTGCTTTTGACCAGTATTTGTGAGATATAACATTACATGTTTAACTAAATTATATTTGGCAAAGCAACATTTAAAAAATTTAGGTAAGGCATAAACATTTTATAGTCATTTATGGACATCAATCTCACTCTATTAACTCTTTGTTAATCCACAGAATTGTACCCTTCATTCTGAGTTTATCAGCCTACTTAATATTAATTTTCCATAAATTAAATCATATGCAAGGCACATTTAGACTTAAATCTATACATATCATACAGGCCAGTAAGTATTTTAAACGCGGGCGTATGAGACTTCAACTTACCAACTATGCAACTGCATTTATTTTCACCGGTAAATGGAAAATACTCCAATAATAATGGACTAATAACACCAGTAGCTATCATGTACGGCTCAATTTTAGAGGATTTCAGTTTAGATTAAATACCGGTAATGTATGTTGTCTAATATTGTTCTTATAATAGATATATATATATATATATAATATATATATATATATATATATATATATATATATATATATATATTATATATACATATATATATATATAATATATATATATATATATATATAAATATATATATATATATTATATATACATATATATATATACACATTATATACTGGTAAAAGAAGACGGGAGTGTGGGAGGGAGAGTGTTATAGTTGAAAAATTTAAGGAACTGATTTAAATGCAGTTCTATAGAACTCTTCACAGCAGAGGTAGATAGAGTAAACGCAGTGATAATGATATTCAACCTCCGATTGGGATGTGACATCTAAAGAAGAAGACACGTTTACTATTTAATTGCGATTGGTTCATTTTAATGTAGAAAATATATTTATTTCTCTCCACCATTGGTAATTGAATGAAAGTTTCGTCTTAGTTTTAGTGATTTTCAAAATGCAAACGGTCATAAAAGGACAATATCTTCCGAAGTGATAAATTCTTTCAGTTATTTACTAAATTACCAATCCTTTTCCATTACTCATGAATATTAAACTTTAAAACGATTCGGGGTGGGTAACCAATAGTATATACTGTTTGGCAAATTAATTTTTTTTTCAAACCTTACGGTGCACGATAGCAAATAGTGTAGTGGAGACTTGATCAATTAAGTGCATATTCAGGAGAAAAGCACTTGCTAAATATACATTGATACAAACATTTTTGTTGATAAAGGTTTTACAAGCCTTAAAAGATTGTTCCATATTTTGATCTATATTACTTTCTTGTTTAAATAATTACTATTTAAATGGGAATAAGCCACAAATAAAAACATTAGTAAATTAAACAAATTTAGTTTTTTTAAACAAAATTGTTTAATTTACTTATGTTTGTATTGTGAAAACGATTTCCAAAGTGGAAATTCAAACGTCAATAAATGTACTTTAACCTTTACTTGCGGCTTATTCCCATTTCGATCGTAATTACTTTAAAATGCCACAAGAAAATAGCTTCAGAACAACATTCTTGTTCAAGAGGGTATGCACAAAATTTCGGGCCAATTTTTAAATGCGTTCATTTTTTTCAAATCCTGTTTATTTTCAAATATCTGATTCAAAAGAAACTTTTTGTTTATTCTAAGGGACTTTCGGCCCTCGGTAATAATGTAGTCTTTCATTCTGCGTTTAAATTTTTCAAAAATATTTATTAGTTTTCTCAGGATTCGAAAAAAAATGAATGCATTTAAAAAGCATTGGCTCGAAATTTTGCGCCACGCTACGTCACGTATCTCAAAGCAATATCTTTTCTTTTATGTGCCTACAGGGTCTAGTTAGGCCAAACTAGTTAACCAAGCAAAAAATATTGATCCATATCGTATCAATTGTATCTCCAAAACATTATTTGTTTTAATACATTGGAAAATTTTATCGTAGAAAATGTTTTCAAACAAGAAAATTTTTGGAGTCACTTCTTATGGGCTCTTTAATTTCATCGAGATCGGGTGATTAAGAAGGATATAAGAAAAATACTTTTTCAGTAGGTATGGTAGCCTTAATTCGTTCTTCTTTTAGACCATCCATTTAGTAGATTATTTTAAAAACACTGATACTTTTTATATGTAGATCAAATTAAACTCCAACTTAATTTTTAAGTTTATTTTATTTATATGGCACACAATTTACAACTTTATTTCTACCGTGAAGGTAACAATCGTTT